ACGGTCAATTCACGTAGTCATGAAGTCTGCGGTTCTCTTCTCGATCTGAATTACCTTTTTCAAGTAAACCTACCATGGGTTTTTCATTTCTGTTTGGTTTTCGAAGAACATTTGGCTGAAATTATGCTCACATGCTAAGAAGCTCGTGATTTATATGTTAAATTTAAATTGAAACATAATTATAACTAATTGTAAGTTTTAGGAATTAAACTTCCTTGATTAAATGAGCCATACGGCCAGAGTATAAATACAGTTTGTACAGATAACTACAAGCTAGTACAAATCCTAAAAATTAGGATCTAGATAACTATGAGCTTATCTACAACTAACTAAGCCTATCCGACTCACTATGTACATCAATCTAATCGGGAAAAATAATGTAACACTTTTCTAATAATGTAACATTTTTCTACACTCCCCCTCAAGTTGGTGAATATATATCATACATCCCAACTTGCTTATAAGTAGCTTAAATATAGGTCTAAATAACCCTTTGGTGAAGATATCAACTGTTTGATCTTTAGTGGATACAAATGGTGTGCAAATGATTCCAGCTTCAATCTTCTCCTTAATGAAATGCATGTCCACTTCAATATGCTTAGTTCTATCATGTAGCACAGGGTTATGAGCAATGCTTATAGCAGCTTTATTATCACAATATAACTTCATAGGCAGCCCAATCTCCATCTTTAGTTCTGTGATTACTCGTTTGATCCAGAGTAACTCACATATTCCATTAGCCATAGCTCTGAATACTTATTATGCACTACTTCTAGCCACCACATTTTGTTTCTTACTTCTCCAGGTTACTAGATTTCCCATACATAGGTGCAGTATCCAGAAGTAGATCTCCTATCAGATATTGAGCCAACATAATCTGCATCAGTAAAAGCTTCAATTATCCTATTGTTTTCCTTTTTGAAAAACAATCCTTTCCCTGGACAGCTCTTCAGGTATCTCAGAATCCTGTAAGTAGCATCAAGATGTTCTTGGAGAGGATGATGCATAAATTGACTCACCATGCTTACTGCAAATGCAATATCTAGTCTTGTGTGTGCCAGATATATTAATTTTCCTACCAATCTTTGATATTGGTGAATATCAACTGGATTTCCCTCCTTGACATCTCCCAATTTCTGACTTGGGTCAATTGGAGTGTTTGCTGGTTTGCAGGCACTCATTCCAGTTTCCTGTAGAAGATCTAGAACATATTTCCTTTGTGAGAAAACAATACCCTTCTTTGATCTAGCTATCTCCATTCCTAGGATTTTTTTTAAATTTCCTAGGTCTTTAATCTCAAATTCATGAGCAAGTTTGTCTTTCAATCTTTTAGTTTCGTGTGAGGATAATATCATCTACATAGACAATTAAGATTGCAATCTCCCCCTCACCTGAAAACTTCATGAATAAAGTATGGTCAACTTGAGCTTGATTAAATCCTTGCTTCTTTATGAACTTTGTGAATATGTCAAACCAGGCTCTTGGAGATTGTTTAAGTCCATATAAAGTCTTCTCTAATCTGCAAACTTTTAACCCAAACTTATTTTCAAACCCAGGAGGAGGTTTTATGTACACTTCTTCTTCAAGTTTCCCATTTAAAAAAGCATTCTTTACATCCAGTTGTTGTAATGGCCAGTCTAAATTGACAGCAAGAGATAAAAGAATTCTTACAGTGTTCAACTTTGCAACTGGTGCAAAAGTTTCTTTGTAATCAATTCCATGGGTCTGTGTGTACCCCTTGGCAACTAGTCTTGCCTTATACCTCTCCAAACTTCCATCTGCCTTAAACTTGGGGGTGAAAATCCACCTGCAACCAACTGTAGGTTTGTTTTTAGGTAACTCTACAAGCTTTCATGTATGATTCTTTTCAAGAGCCTCCATCTCCTCCAAAACAGCTTTCTTCCACTCAGGTTTAGATAGAGCATTCTGTATGGTTGGAGGAATAGAAATAGAAGAGATATTGGAGGTAAAGGCTTCAAAGTCTGAGGTCAATTTAGAATAAGAAACATAGTTTGAGATGGGGTATTTAACACATGTTCTTCTCTCTTTTCTGAGAGCAATAGGAAGGTAAAGTTGCTAGAAGTATTACCTTTTTCACTTCCTGACATTGAGGCAGAATCATGGACAGTTGTAGGTTCTTGGTCTTCCTCTATTCTTTGATTTCTAACCCTTCTCTCATAAATTTTTCCAAAGAACTGACTTGTCTGTTGATCCTTTTCAATTGATTCAGTTGGATTTACTTCATTATTTTTTATTTCTTGATCATTTTCAGGTGTACTGATATTTCTAAAGAAATTATCATCCAGATTAATATGAAGAAAATTAAGATTTTCATGAATATGTGCCATTATTGGAACATCTTCACTTAATTTCTCCCCCTGAAGATGAGAATAACAAAAGGTTGTTCTTCCACAAAAAAAGTATCCATAGTAACAACCATTGTTTTGGTTGTAGGATCAAAACATTTATACCCTTTTTGAGTGGCAGAAACACCTAGAAAAACACATTTTTTTCCTATAGGATCAAACTTACTTGCAGATCTATGTGCATTTTTGATAAACATTGTGCAACCAAAAATTTTTAAAGGAAGGGTGTTTACCAATCTATTTGTAGGAAAGAAGTGTTGTAGTGAACTAATAGGACTTTTAAATCCTAAAGTTTTGGATGACATGCGATTAATTAAATAAGTAGCATGTAACACTGCTTCTCCCCACAAATATTTTGGTATGTTTGTTGAAAACATGATTGCACGAGTGACTTCAAGCAAATGTCTATTTTTCCTTTCAGCAATTCCATTTTGAGCTGGTGTATTGACACAAGAGCTTTGATGAATAATGCCTTTTTCAGTAAAAAAGTTGTGTAAAGTTTGAGAAAAATATTCACGGCCATTATCACTTCTTACCATTTTAATTTTGGTATTGAATTGAGTTTGGACCATAGCATAAAATGTTGTAAATATTTTCTCAACTTCAGATTTTTCTTTGATCAAAAATACCCATGTGACACGAGTATGATCATCAATAATAGTTACAAACCATCTCTTTCCCTTTAAAGTTGGTATTCTAGATGGACCCCAAATGTCACTATGTACCAAGGTAAAAGGACTAGTAGGTTTATAACTGTGGGGTAAATAAGTGTTTCTGTGATGTTTTGCAAGTGCACACATATCACAATTAAACAAAGAAGCATCTTTATTCAGAAATAATTGAGGAAACATCTTTTTTAAATAATAGAAACTAGGATGTCCTAGTCTATAATGAAGTAAATACAAATCTTTATTATTTGAAAAAGAAACAGTTTGCAAACAAGCATTTCTTGGACCTCTTTTATTAGATTGAGCTTCTCCATCAAAGATATAGAGTCCATCCTCCTCCTTAGCACTGCCAATCATCTTCCCCGATTCCAGGTCCTGAAAAATGCAATAAGAAGGATAAAAAATGACACAACATTGTAGATCTTTAGTTATTTGACTAACTGAAGTAAGATTGCAGGATAGATTAGGGACATGAAGGACTTTAGATAGATTCAGTGATGAGGAAATACTAATATTTCCCATCCCTGCAATGGCTTATAGAGAACCATCTTCAACCTTAACCTTTTTATCCCCTGTTCTAGGTTTATATGAAGAAAAAAGATTTGAAATAGAAGTCATGTGATCAGTAGCCCTGAGTCAATAACCCAGGAATTTTTAGATTTCCCAGAACAAAAAAATGATGAGTAGGTACCATTTTGGTCATAAGAACAAGAGGAAGATTCTGGTTTGGATTCTTTCCGGGAATTTTGGGTTTTCTGAGAATTAAGGAAGTTAAGAAGTTGCCCTATCTGCTCCTGAGTGAATGAAAGCTGATTGAACTTGACTTGTGGTTTTTGTGGAGTCTCAATCACAGTTGTTTGTAGGGCCTTCTCAGTTTTTTTCTTTCCTGCCCCTGGAGGTTCGACATGAATTTTCCAACAAGTCTCCCTAGTGTGCCATAATTTCTTGCAATGATCACACCAGGGTTTTTTCTTGTCATCACTCCCAGCCACCATTGCTGAAGAGTCCCCAGATTCCTCATTATGTACTGGAATGTTGTACATAACCTTCTTCCTGCTATCCATCATGATTTCAGAAAATACCTCCCTCATAGAGGGTAGAGGTTTTTTTTCCAAGTATCACCCCCTTAACTTCATCTAGATCTCTATTAATTCCTGCTAGGAACATGTAGACCCTATCATTGTCCTCCCTTTTTTGGTGTCTTGCTAGATCCTTGGCACTCTCCCACTTCTTATCATCATGGCACTGATCCAACTCTTGCCATAGGGATACCAGCTCATGAGAAGAGTTCTCATGATCTGAGTAAGTTTCCTTAATGGAATTCCATACCTCCTTTGCAGTTTTCATGAACATGTGAGGTTTGGCAATTGACGCATCAATTGAACTTAGAAGCCATGCTGTCACCAAGGAATTTTCTGACCTCCAGACACTGTAGCCATCATCACCAGTTTTTTTCTCCTTTATTTCACCAGTTATGTACCCTAGCTTGCCCCTTCCATCAATAGCCAACTTGACAGACTGTGACCATTCGAGATAATTTGTGCCATTCAATCTATGGCCAGTAATGAGCATAGATGAATGAACTGAGGTCTGGTAGTTTGTCATTGAGCTATTTGGGGAGTTAGGGTTATGGGTTTGTGAGTGGGGAGAAGAGTCAGATTGCTCGGTTCCCACCATTGTGGTGTTTAAACAGCCTGCTCTGATACCATGTAAGTTTTAGGAATTAAACTTCCTTGATTAAATGAGCCATACGGTCAGAGTATAAATACACTTTGTACAGATAACTACAAGCTCGTACAGATCCTAAAAATTAGGATCTAGATAACTATGAGCTTATCTACAACTAACTAAGTCTATCCGACTCACTATGTACATCAATCTAATCAGGAAAAATAATGTAACATTTTTCTAATAATCTAACATTTTTCTACACTAATAATGTCGGTTTTTCCTCATTTTTTTAAAGGGCCTAAGGAATGCTGAAAAACTCATAGAAGAGTCGAAGGCAATAGTTGATAATGGTTCAGAACAGCTTTTGACTGCTTACTACTATCCAAGCTTCTTTTCACATATGGGATTGGATGATCATGTTGATCCAAAGGGAGCAAAGGATAAGGCTCTGGAGATAAGGCCAAACCTTGGCCGAAAAAGATCTGGATTTTCCATGAAGCCTTACGGAAGGTCAGATTGCGATTTTTTGGCATTTAAAAATATTTTCTTTATAAAATATGGCACTCAGTAACTTTACAAACTACATTGTGTATTGCAGTCAGCCTACCGTTGTTACATTGGGACCCAAAGTGGATCTTGATCATATTACAGACCCAGAAGAATATTTTCTGGCTTTCAAGAAGTTAGAGAGTAAATATTATTTACTACCTGTCCCCTTACTTAAACCTCTATACTTTTTAGTGCTTCAATTGTGATTCAGATGACACAACCTCCCCTTGTTATGGTCTGTAAACTATTTTGTTTCTTTGCATGAGCTACTTTGACTCCGCCTTATTAGTACACAACTATTGATCTCTAGATGCTCAACAAGAGATAAGCAGGCAGCTGGGTGTTGTAGATAATCACTCAAATACGAACATCCTGCTGACTAATGCAAGGCATCCTCAGCAGCCATTGTATTCGGGGTACGATGAAGAAATGCATTAGCTGTCATTGTGAGGCCCTGGTTGTTGTAGGCTTCTTTTTGCTTTTCATTGCAATTAACATGTTTTTTATCACAGAAGAACAGTAAAGTTTAAGCACATTCACCCCATAGTGAGACTTGACGATAATGATACAGTTATTCTCTCAAAGGAAATACATGAGCTCGATGATGTTTGTTCCCCAAAATCTGATTCCCAGATAGAAAACAACACTCATGATGCTGAACTGCTGGAATCAGAACTCGCTGGTATGGCTTGCATGTTGCAAATTTCATTTGTGAAATGATTTAATTGTAGGTTCTCTCTTATTGTTTTTGAAACAATCATCCAATTTGCCTTTCCCTTCTTCATGTAAGGAGTGTTTGGATGCTTGTTTTTCCTTTTTTTTTGTGCATTTTCATTGATCCAGTTACTCCTCTATTCCACAGGCTTAATTACTGAACAGGAAAACAGGGTTAATAATGCTATGGATAGACTGCTGTCTCATAATCTTGAGGAATTCCAAGGAGATAGAGTTTTCCATTTACTCCAGGAGGAGCTGCAACTGAAACCTCTTGATCTTTCTGCCTTGTGCATTAGCCTCCCTACCTCTAGTACTGAAATTAATAAAATAAAGAAAAACTCGGATGTGAGTCTTCTAGACAATCAAGCTTACAGATGTACAGAAACAAATGCACATTCTGATAATATAGATACCAGACATTGTGAATCTCCGGATTGGACGGTGGGAGACGATGAGGTTCACACTGATGAAGCCATGACAGGTATGGAACTTTTTAATGAATCTCATGGGAGCATGGGGCAACACAATGAAGGTAGTCATGTAGATATCCAGACTAATGATGGAAAATTGAGCAAGCAGTATAGGGACATTGATGGTCAATTCTGTGGGAGTGACTGCATTGATAAGGTTTGTATTTTTACATCAAGTATAGTTTCTTAGGGAGGCTAAACTGTTGTTGATTGTAAAAAACAAATGCAGGATGAATGCAGCCATGTGCATGATCTGCCTCTTTCTCAAGTACAACAAGAAGCTGATGACACAACCCATGCTTCCTATGCAATTGGAACCAACAATCAGAGCTTCATGTACTGCCAATTGGATGAACATGTGAGATTCTACACTTTATCAATAAAGAACACTAAGTTCTACATTCGTAAATTCGTAAATTATGTATTTTCTAGCTTATTGTACATACATTTCAGGCTAAAGATTTTCCATCAGCATATTCATCTGAGCAAATTCACAGTGCCGATGATGCATACATAAGTGAGAACTGCACTGGCGTTCAAAATCCATCTAGTATGACTCTTATGTTCTTAACATTTCAAAATTCCAAATAAGCTACACATTCACTTTCTCTAGATGCAAATTTGAATTCCATATAGTGTGTTCATTAATATGTAAGCATGGTACATAAGAACTTGAAAAGGGAGGATAATTGTTTCCTGAGGCCTCTTAATTAGGTCTTATCATCTTAAGTAAGCGAATGCCATACAAAATTACAGGAAAAATAATCTTTTTATTAATACGATGGCATTAGGTAATCCTAAGTCCATTCTTATCCAAATCTCAAACTCCCAGCATGGTAATATTGTTGAATTTGGTGGCTAAGAGTTTGAATGAGAAAAAAGTTGTTATTGGCTGGCTTTTCACATGTAGTGGGATGTGAAAAAGTGAAAAATATCTCCTATGAGTTGAAGAAGCTTATCTCATGGAATGACACATGTTGATTTCAACTTTTAAGAACATACTGCATTCATTATATTTCTAGCTAAATTTAATGTTAAATCATTAAGCTTCCTATTATCGATTTTTGAGTTTGCATAACCTAGCTTTTTAACCTACCTTAACTTTCGTACACTAACCTAGCATGTTAAATCAGTGCTTATTGGTCCATCTTATGTTTTCAATTAGCTAGCACTAAATCACACTGCAAAAGTTCTTTCCCCTTGTTGCCATTAAATCGGAATCTATAACTTTTAGATACGCTTTACTGGCATATTTTTCCTTTTCTATACCACAGATCAATCGAAGTTTGTTGCTGCCAAAGGCCACATGATGGATATGCGAAGTGCAGTTCCTGATACTAATCCCAGACAACATATCATGGTTTTATCCCTGATCATTTTTCTTTATTCCTGAGCTTCCAAAACTGGGATATCTATTTTATTTGTACTTATGGATGAACTGCATTTTTTGTTTGGTAGATGTAGTGTTTCATCATTTACATTTAGAACATATGCACAGCGCATGAAGTGTCAATGTCCATGATATGTCTATAGGAACTATAGTCCTAATTGAATCACCATTGGTTTGGGTTAGGAAGGAGATTACTAGGAAAGACCGAAAGACCATAAAAGCTACTCCCTTCATGGCACTGTTCCCAAACAATTGACATTTTCGAAGAGTGTACATATAGGAACAATACTAGTTGACTCTCCTACCTTCATTTGGGCTTAACAGTAGATCGAGTTTATGTTTTTCCTTGTACAAAACCATTTAATGTAGGAATAGTTATATGGGGAAATTGGTAATTAGTAAAAATATGCATATTGAATTTTTAATCACAAGAATGAAAACAAATAGTCATATGCTAACCTTTGTTCTTTTCTAGGTGAAAGAGTTTGACTTTCACGTTTACCAACAAATGACTTTGACCCAAACTTATTGTAAGCGAAAAGCGACCAAAAGCGAGAACTTAGAGCTTTTATAAAAAGCGAAAGCGCTAAGCGAAGCGTCGCTTTTACACAAAAAACGATGGCTATAGAAAAATACAAATATAAAATATTCCAATGCATAATTAAGTCAAAAACACATCAATAGTCATAATACTCATAATACCAAAATGCTTAAGCGCGCTTTTGGTCGCTTTTAATAAGTTTGCTTTGACCAATGACATACTTAACAATGTATTAGTAAAAAATACACATTGATTTTCCAAAAATATTAAATGATAAGAGTTCAAAAAATTTTACATAGTAAGATTTGTATATATCACTTATCAGTGATGTTAATAGCGCGGCCTGTAGTGTGGCGTTTTAGGATTCTTTTGCATTAGCTATGTGTGTGGCCCCAAAAGGAGTTCAAAACAAAAACATGCCTTTTGATAGAAATGTTACATGCTTTTCTTTGTGGGAGCTATGGATATTCTTATTCTATCACTCAGAAGCGCAGAGCTACGGATCGAACACGGAAAAACAATCCCTTCCGAGGACAACGTGAAACAAGATCCCTTAAATCCAGGCCAAGCGTTGCAGGTTTGGCTCATCCTTGGCATTTCTTAGTTGTAGCCAGCATATTATTGTAATCGTTTGGTTGCTTATTATTAATCTGATGACAGATGGCGGTACAATGTTTGAGGGCGGGGTCCGACGAAGCAAAAGAATCAAGAGTAGGCCACTGGACTTCTGGAAAGGAGAAAGGCTACTATTTGGGCGCGTAAATGAGAGTGAGCACTCTCTTCCAGTTTTTTTCATTTGTATTTTTTTTGGGCGCGTTTGAGGGTGTGCAAATCATTGCTGTTTCCTATACAAGGCATCATACTAGCATGGCTTTTCTGCATATCCCTAAAGACATGAGCCATGCCTTTTTTGTGGGCCGCTCCAGATCAGATGATATTGGTTTTTTCGACCCCATGCTCTGATCCCGTGCTTGGTTTTCTAAGGGTATGTTTGGGAGTTGTGTTTTGGAGGGGAGGGGAAACATACCCTAAGGCTACAACTATTCTACTGCCAATAGAGGATTGTGCTAGGATCTCATTTTTTATTTTTCCAAGGCTACAACTATTCTACTTTTAATAGAGGATCTTCCGATCTTGGATTGAATGGCCAGGACCAAAGACAAGTATAGTACTTGTCTCTGGGAAAGGGCAGAGAAGCCATGCCTGTACCATACTTATCATTGTGCAGTGTTTTTATCCAAGTAGAAAACAGTTTCATATCATCATTTGGAAAATAGGTCAGAATATTATATTTCATTTTCATTTGCATTTTACAATGTAAAAGCCAAACATACCCGAATAAATTTCTTTGGCATTTTTGTCACTTTCTTCTGACATTCTCCCGGGAACCAAACACGTTCTAAAGATGTCTCTGTTCTATATTCTTCATTTCACTCTTTCAAATTGGTATGATGACGAACGAGCATGGTGGAAAGATTAAAATGTGATGATAATAGGGGCTAAGCTCATTGATTTATGTTACTACTGTCTGAGTTATATCCACATGGTGCTTATTGTGTTGCAGGCATGAAACTTGTGGGGGTGAAGTACGAATCTCCAACATTGGGAAATATGAAAGTGAAGTCGTATGTTTCTGATAAGTATAAAGAGGTTATAGAGTTGGCAGCCCGTGATTGAGTTTGATGAAGAGACTCGTGTTCGCTTAGCCTTTCTTCCTGGTGGGACTTGACTTCCAGCAGTTGCACATCCCGGGAAAGGTTTTTTCTATAAAATATAAAACAATTAGTCATCTTCAAACTATTCATGATTAGGATAATTATTATCATTATCAAATTAATTAGAGAATCACAAATTCACAATTATGATTCCAGAATGATAATTATGTGGGTCACACTTCTAGTACACCTCTGCTGCATCTTCAATAACACCTTCATACTTAATATAATCTTCTCCCTAATGATTAACCGGCCGGGCCGGACCCGGTTTCGGGCATTTTTTTTTGTTTTTTCAATTTTTTTTATTTTTCTGGGTTGGGTTGGGTGTTTTGGGCCATTTGGGATGGTTTGGGGGGTGGGTGTGAAGGGGGAGGTTAGGGGATTAATTAGAAAATTTGAAAAAAGGAAGTGGCCCGAGGCCCGGCCCGACTTGACCCGGACCCACCGGCCACCCGGGCCGGTTCCGGTTCACACATTTTCAAATAAAAGCCCGTCCGGGCACATACCCGAACCGGAACCGGCATGGCCCGGCCCGAGTCCACCCATAATCCTGACCTTAGTGACCACCGTTGTCACAGTGATTATAAATTTTCAGTGACCAGTGTCCCTTAGTGACTCTAGGTGCCCCAGTTACCCCACCACTGTGCACCGGTGAACGGCGGCCTGTAGAATCCCCACAGCCACCAGCACAAACACTCGAGTGCCTCAGTGACCAGCCACACCTCTGCAGTAATATGACATTATACTTGTATAACCTTGCCTTCACGTTGGCCTTTACAGTAGTCATGGACTCGAGCCGGGCCGCCGGTTTGTATCATATGTGCCCAGGACCGGCCCGAGGGTTGGACGGGTACGGTTCGAGCCGGGCCACCCGCCCGGGTCACGGGTTGGGCCACCCGTCAGGCCGGATCGGGCTGGTTAAAGATTTTTTTTTGTTTTTATAATTTATATTTTATACTTTATAGTTTTATACAAGTATTAAAAACAAACTTCAAGTGCATTTATTTGAAATGAAATAGGAACTACATTTGAAAATTAAATAGGAACTACAATTGAGAATTGAAGGTAAAATTAAAACATGAAATACTAATCAATCATTCAATCGGAATCTTCGGCATAGGTAGAGCCACCTTCGGTTGTAGATTCATCCATAAAGTGTTGGGATGTGGTGATGTCAATTTCTTGAGCTCTACGGGCTGCTTTCAACCAATCGTGGTAGCATATAAGCATCTCAAGAGATTCTGCGCTCAACCTCGTTCTGGTTTGTGTTAGGACATTGCTGGTTGAACTAAATTCTTGTTCCACGGCAATCGTTGAAATCGGCATTGATAGCACTTGCTTAGCCATCTTTGTTAAAACCGGGAACATTCTTTCTTTTGCATTCCACCAGTTTAGTACGTTAAAATCATTATCTTCTTCAAAATCAACATCATAAGTTAAATAAAAAGAAATCTCATTAATTGTGCTTTGTTGTGTAGCGGGAGTTGATTTCATTTTTTTAATAAGATTGGCAAATTGTGCATGAAACTCATTGAATAATGCATAAAATATATCACTAACCTCGTTGTATTCTTTTTTCGGATCCATTGGGTTGTCCTCATACATTGGCAATGGACCAAAAAAAGTAGCATAATAATAATTCTAACATTCTTCTAAAAAACCAAGTCTAAAACGAGGATCGAGAACAAATGCAATACCATAAATATGCGTAATATGTGAATAATATTTTAAAAACTTTTCCTTCATAAAACTAGTAAAATAACTCACATAATCAGCATTCTCAAAATTTGAAAAAGCACCGGCGATATTAATAGCTTCACGAATAAATTGGTTTGAGGTAGATTTATAAACATGATTAAAAGTTTCAGTTGCATTATTAAAATATACCAAAGCATTACAAATTTTTTCATAGGTGTCGATCTCAGCCGAGTTTATAATATAGTTATCATATTGTTTCATAAAAGCAGGAAAATGTTGTTTATATCTAAGATGAATCCCAATTAATTTATAGGTACTATTCTAACGAATAGACAAATCTTTAGGAAAAGTCACATATCTCTCACCTCTTTCTATCAAATAGTCATGACATTTTTTTCTAAGTTGTCCATTACCCCAAATACGTCTAATCCACCTCTTGACTACCTCTAACGATGCACCCAACGCTTTTAGACCATCTTGCACACATAAATTTAGAACATGACATGCACATCGTTGATGAAAAAATCTACCCATCAAAGAAGTAGAACCACACAATTCACGCAATCTAGGAATAGCATCAGTATTATTAGTAGCATTATCAAAACCAATAGCAAACACCTTATCAATTAAATTATACTCAATTAAAATACACTCAATCAAAATATAAATATATTCAGTGGTGTGACGATCATTAAATTCACGGAAAGCAAGAACACGTTTATGCATATGTCAATCATTATCAATATAATGTACAGTCAGATCCAAATAATGTAAATTATGATAAGTATCCTCCCATATGTCAGAACATACAGTAACACGTTCATCAAAGTTTGCAAAATAATTTTGTAATCTTACCTTTTCCGCACCATAAAGGCTTGAAATTTCTTTCTTAACCGTTTTGCGAATATAACCTCTATATTGCGGATTTAAACAAGTTTGTGCATAATCACGAAAAGCAAGACTTTCAGAAAACAAATAAGGCAAATTTTCTTCAACAAGTAAGTTAGCTTTACTTGTCAAATTTTGTGCATCATTGTATGAGAAATTACCAAAAACTTGTTGGTTATTTGCAAACCTCGATATTTGAGTTTGCTTCCCCGTTCCGCCGCCTAATTTTGCATACTCCACCGGGTGTTTGAAGTTAAGGTGTCTTGTGGCGGATCCGTATCCGCCGGAAATCCCCAAGCTATAGTTTTTCTTGCACCAATTGCAAGTTGCGGTCCAATTCCCGGTGTTCGAGTCCTTCCACTTAGAAAAATTATTAGCCATTAGTTCAGATTTACTTTTTTTGTACCTGTTCGGGTCCAATTTACAGTCTATGCAATATGCCAATATCTCATATCTAAATGAATTCAAGGCTTCTCCCGTTTGGTGAAATCAAGTAATTGGATGAATATTTAGGGGGTGTTTGGATCTGATTTTTAAAACTGCTTCTGTTCCTCCAGGGAGCAGAAGCAGAAGCTGGAGTGTTTGTGTGAAAGTGCATAAGCGATTCTGGTGCTCTAATTTACTCCTAGAATCAGTTTTTTTAGAAGTTGGGGGGACCAGCTTCTGAAAACTGATTTCTGATTCTGCTTCTACTTTAAAAAAGAAGCAGAATCAGAATTGGTTCCAAACGTCCCCTTATACATAGCAAGCAACATAAGTACATAACACGACAAATTGAAATACAACACAAGACCACAATCGATTAAAAGGCCATTAATTAGCACAAGCTATACAATTATTTTTAATCTGTCAAATAAATCTCAATTCAAGCCAATGGAGTTTATGCCTTCTCCAAGGTCCTTTTTGGCCCTTCCACGACCTCCTGGCCTCCACCGTATCATTCTTCTTATTTGTCTTCTCTAGCATCTTTTTGATTGGATTTGTTCAATCAAACTCGGAAAGTTTTTTTTTTCTTTTTTTTTTTGCAAAAGAAATTGAATCAGCGTTTATGGGTTGCAGAAGTTCTTAATCATTTACATGCTCATAATCTTCATCTGCGTAACCATGACCAACCGCACCAGCTCAGTCCCATCCCCCTGCTCCAGGCCCCGCCCCAGCCCCCTCACACGGCCTCAACCATTGCTTCTCAACCTTTGCACCCCGCCCACCCCGATTTGAAAACCCTAGACACTGAGATCTTCATCACAATTCTGGAAACGCCATAGACAGAAAATTGAAGAAGTAGAAGAACGCAACGAGGTGGCGACGTGTGATGAAGGCAGACTCGACAGCGAAGAAGAAACCTTGCGTCGATATTAGTCCGCTTATTTCAGATCTAAAAGCACTACTTGTGAGAGAGAAACCCTCCACTCCTTTTTTTTGTGTGTTTATCTTCTTATACCTAAAAAGACTACATATGAGTTAATACTCATAAATTAGTTCTTCCATTTAATAATTAACCTGCTTGTCTTACACCTAAAAGCACTACATATGAGAGGGAAAATTCTTCCGCACAAATTAATGGATTTTTTATACATCCAACATTGATATCATATGAAAGATAATAAAAAGATATGAGTTATGATATATTTCTTGTAACAATCGAAGTACGAATAAAATAGTTATAACACTATAAAATAGAAGTTTTTTGAAGTATTAAATCATTTTGTATTTTATATATACAATTTTGGTGTCATATGAAAGATAAAAAATATGAAGTATGATATATTTCTTGTAACAATCAAAGTACAAATAAAATAGTTATAATAACAATATAAAAGAGAAGTTTTATATATATACAATATTGATGTCATATGAAAGTTAATAGAAAATTATTAAATTTGATATTTTTTGTAACGATCAAATCACAAATAAAAAAGATATAGCATTTTTAAAAAATTAGCGGACTTTATTTGATTGAGATAAATTAATAGAAAATCTTAAAATAAAGTAAAAATAAAATTTGAAAGTTAACAAAAAATTATTAACTTTGATATTTTTTGTAACGATTTCTAGTACAATTAAAAACCATATAGCACTTTAAAAATTAGGGGGCTTTATTTGATTGAGATAAATTTATAGAAAATCTTAAAATTAAGTAAAAATTAAATTGTAATTGCTGAAATTTTGTAGAATTAGAACATACAAAGTGCATATGTGTGGAGTCCCAGCATGAATTACGTAGTAGGATAGGTTTTATCTTTTAGAATTATCATCATCATTATTAGAAGTGAAAAAAACGGACTAATAAATAGTACTCCGTAATAAATGCGGAGAAGGAGTCAGGTGATGGTTTTGCTTCCATCCATTACAAAAAAAACGCAATTCCTTTGAAAATAAGCAGCCACGTGTCAATATGGAATGAGAGGAGAGAATTATGGGTAAAGTGACACGTAAGAATGTAAGATTAATGAAGGGTGTAATTGTCTTTTGATGAACTATTTGTTTTCTTATATATAAATAGATCTCATGTTGGAGTAAAATCAACATGTATGTTTGACACAACTAGGTGAAAAGATACTTTTATGAACATTTTAGTAACTGCTAGCTTTTGGTGCTTGAAAATGATTTAAAAAGAAAAGATAGTAGCTGTTTGGTAAAAAACTAAATGTTTGATTTAGCTCTGTTTGGTATAGAAACTGTTAGAACTAATTAATGCTAGAAG